GAACTTTTTTAAATTCAGTATTTTATATATAATTTTATATATAGTTTGCCGAAAATCACATGAAACTTAAAATTATGTAACATGACTTTATCATAAATAATATGATAAATTCGTAATCGATTTATTTATTACTAAATAATGAAAAAAAATAGATATCATTTTATATAATCAAGAAAAACACAATAATATAAAAAATTATCATTCTATTTTTTTGCAGGTAAAAGCGGTCTCAAATGCTTTCTATTATTATTAGGTTTTTCATTTTGAAGAACAGGAGTACTAGTATGAGTGAGTTCGGTAGAATCATTATCATCAGTAAACGTCGTATTTTCATTCACATAGCACAAGATGAATAGGGGTTTCAGTGTTAGGTTCTGTACTAATAGCTTGTGAAGTAGACTGTAAAGGAGGAGATTCGGTGGAAGAAGTTTCTTTCTGAATCTGCGAAGCAACTTCGGCAAAACCCAGGGATGTAGTTTATCACTTAAAGGTTTGTTAAGAGAAGAATTTTGCATATTAATTCTTTGTCTTTTTTGAGAAAAGTGAAATAATATAGTATATTTTTCTTCAATATTATCAAGTTCTGTATCGAAATCTTTTTGTGAAGATGCTTTCCCAACAGTTGAAGCATGCGAAGGTTGAGGGTCATTAATCGTATAAGTTCATTCAATATTAGAAGCAAGAATATGAGGAAGTTTTTTCAATCCAAGTTTCAAATGACCTACAACAGATAAGACTGTTTTTTTTAGATTATTTTTTAGAGCATTATAACGATTATTTTCATTTGTATATGATACGATAACTTTGGAGTCAACATGTTTATTGTTAGTGATTCCATTATACAAACGCCTCGCCAACATAAAACTTTCCCAACCCCCTTTATTATCAGGAATATAAGAATTTGATACTACAGAAGCTGAGTAAATTAATAAGAGAGACGAATTCGGGAGATCTTCCAGGGTAAGAGTGTATTCATCATCAGAATAAGAAACAGGAACTAATTGAATTAACGTAGTCTAGAAGGAAGAACAAAATGTGAGCTGAATTTATAACAGTTTGAGTGTTAATAATAATATTAATTAATATATATGTATTCTACATTTTCTTCATACGCATAATGATCAGTTATTAAGACAATAGAGTTTTTTTCGAACAGCGTGATCAACGAATCAGGATTGTTGATAAAACCCTTGAATGTAATTTCTCTAAATTTGTCATCATTATTGTTAATTCGATACAACGCGATTCCGGTGATGCATTTATCATTCCTGGTAACACTTTTAATAAAACAAAAAGCTACGAATAAGGATGACATAGCGATGATTCAAAAATTGACGGTAATCGGCGTATTACAAAGAACAGATTTATATACGAAGAAAAACAATGAGGTAATTCGCTAGTGGTGTGGTGTGATAGTTAATTAACCTTGAACTTTTATTTTTATTTACAGAAATTTACAGAAACTTAACTGAAAGGTTTTAGTTTTTCTACGATAACAAAATTCACTACATTTTTATACCTTTCGTTTAGTGAGAAGCTCAAGAGGCTTTGGTTGGACTTTTACTTTTTCACGGTCAAAATTTTCTTAATCTCAAACAGATTTCTTCAAAAAGAGCTTTCTGAGAATTAATTATCATTCTTATTATCGTTATTATGACTTACTTACGATCTTCATAATTTTTTTCTTCAATTTTAAACTGAGCCCGATACATAGCTTCTTCTTTTCAATATATTACCATGTATTACATATAGTTCTATCCTTCTAGCACATCGCCTCTGCATCATATCGACTTATTCTCTTCAAAAATATTATAGTGTATTATTATGACTAATTCTTATCACGCATTAGTCATCTATCCTCGCTTCATGAGTCACATTGTATAATCTATAGCCTCATTTAATGTGATACAATTTTTTATTTATTTTGGATATATTATTTTTAGCCCATAATAGATGCAGACCTATTCACTTTTATTAGTGATACTTTTGCAAGAATACATAATAACAACATGCTCTTCAGA